CACCAGGTCAACCCCAGTCTTGGGGCACCAGGTCAACCCCCTGTTCGGGTGCCAGTCCCCAAGGCTCTGGGTTCACCCCCGCCCAGGCCCCGGGTCCCACTCAAGGATGCAGGTGCCCCCCAGCTGGGACACCCGGGTGCCCCCCATCCTACAGAGGTCCCTGTCTGCCAACCCTGTCACCCCTGGTCTCACCCACACAGACCCCTGGGCTCCCCACGGAATAGGGATGTCCCCCATGGCCCCCAAACTGGGTGCCCCCACCCTAAAGCCATCGGTGCCCCCTGCCCCAGCACCCAGGTGTCCCTCAAACACAGCCCCGAGGCTGCGGGACCCTGGCACGGTGGCACCAGCCACACAGTGTCCCCTTTGTCCCTGGCTGGCACCAGGCGCCCGCCTGGCACCGCTGCCCGCGCGCAGGCGCCGTCCCCGGCRCAGGTGGCACCGCACGCGGCTCCTACGGACTCGCTTTATTGGGGGGGCCCGGGCGGCCCCCCAAGGCCCTCGGCGCCCCTAGGTGGGGATGACGCCCGTGGCCAGGAGGATGATGAGGATGAGGATGATGGCGCCCACCAGGCCCAGGATGAGCAGCAGCTTCAGGTTCTTCCACCAGTACTTGCGGGCCACCTTCTGCGACGTCGTCTTGAAGTGCTCGGACTGCGGGCGGGCGCCGGGCTCAGCGCCCACCCTGGGGACCCTGCACCCGCTGGGGACCCTGTGCCCCACACCTGGGGGCCCTGGGGCCACCCTGGGGACCCTGCACCCGCTGGGGACCCTGTGCCCCACACCTGGGGGCCCTGGGGCCACCCTGGGGACCCCGCACCCGTCCCATGTGCACGTATCCCTCACCCCGAGGACACCCAGTTCTGCTCTGGGGACCTGGTCCCCTCTTAGGGACCCTCTTCGGGACCCCGCAGCCTCACAGACACCCCGTGGCCACCCCAGCGCCTCCCCAAGGAGCCGGCGCCCGCGGCGCGGAGCCGGCCGCCCGCACCGTGGCCTCCAGGTCCTCGGTCTTGTTGCGCAGGTGGTCGAGGTTCTCGCCGCGCGCCAGGATGCGCTCCACGTTCTGCGTCATGATGCTCTTGACGCCCTCCACCTCGCTCTGCAGCTCCCGCACCCGCTCGCTGCCCGCCTGCCGCGGCACCGCGCGCTCAGCGGGCGCCCCTCGCACCCGCGCCGCCCCGCGGGGAGCCCTCGTGGGCCCCCGGACCCGGCAGGCACCCCCGCAGCCCCCATGTGCCCCATAGGGTCCCTATAGG